GGAGTGAAAAATCCAATGGAAAACATGGAAATGTTCTTTACCGCCAGGATCTTCTTCTGGTCCTGCTCAGCCATGCAGGGCCACCAGCCTTTGACGGTTTTCTGCTCGAAGAGGGACACGAAGCGGCCGGAGGACAGGGAATCATCCAGGAGATCCAGGGAACACTTCTCCGCCGTCTTGGCAGGCTTGGGCATCCTGTTGAGATCCATCTGGATGGATCCTGCAAGGAAGGACATTCCCGGTGAGGATTATCTCGGTGGGATAATCCTCAAAACATGGAATATTCCCATGATTTGGTGGACTTGGGCCACCCTGACCATCTCATTCCAAACTCCCAACTTTGCACTTAAAATACAGAATATTCCCATGATCTTGGGCCACCTCAACCATCCCATTCCAAACTCCCGATTTTCCACTTAAAATATGGAATATTCCCATCATCTCATGGATTTGCGCCACCCCGACCATTCTATTACGAAGTCCCAACTCTCTCTTAAAACATGGAATATTCCCTTGATCTCATAGAGCTTGGGCCACCCTGACCATCCCATTCCAAACTCCCAACTTCCACCTAAAACATGGAATATTCCCATGATCTTGGGCCACCCTGACCATCCCATTCCAAACTTCCAATTTCTGCCTAAAATACAGAATATTCCATTCCAAACTCCCAACTTCCACTTGAAACATGGAATATTTCGCTCCAAACTCCCAACTTCCACTTGAATATTCCCGTGATCTCCAAATTCCCAATTTACACTTAAAACACGGACTATTCCCATGATCTCGGGCCACCTCAACCATCCCATTCCAAACGACCATCCCATTCCAAACTCCCAACTTCTACTTAAAACATGGAATATTCCACTCCAAACTCCAAACGTCCACCTAAAATACGAAATATTCCCATGATCTCATGGATTTGGGCCACCCTGACCATCCCATTCCAAACTCCCAACTTCCACTTAAAACATGGAATATTCCCATGACCTTGGGCCACCTCAACCATCCTATTCCAAACTCCCAACTCCTGCTATCCCAGTGTGCTCCAAGCCCTGCCCAATCCAGTCTCAGACACTTCCMGGGATGGGATATCTGCAGCTCCACCGGACAACCTGTGCCGGTGCTTTTATTGCTTTTTTTTAGGATGGATCCTGAAATTCCCAACTCACCCAAGTAGTCATCAAAGGAGAACTTGTCGTTGTCCCAGATCTGGAGGATCAGCTGGGGTGGAATCTTATTTTCCGTCTTGTCCAAGCTCCAGAAGTGTTCCTAAAATCCCAGCGGGAAAA